GGTAGGCCCCCCCCCCCCCCCCCCCCGGGGTCAGATACGACACCCCCCCCCCCCCCCCCGTACCGACCTTGAGCAACGTCGTAATTGAGTCGAAGGGAAGCCCCTTCCCTCTCCCTTCCCCGACGAGGGGGGGAGGGGGGTTCCGGGGGGGGCCCCAGGGGAGTCCCGGGGAAGTCCCGGGTCAGATACGACACCTCCCTCCCCCACCTTCTCGCCCTTCTCCCCGTTCCCCAAAACCATCCCACAGCCCGTGCCTCTTGCTGCGCATTGCGAACAGGGTCGGCGGCACCGGCCGCAAGGCCTTCGCAATAGAACGGTAGAGACGAGAAAAGGCAAGATATAAGCGGGCGCACCATCGAAAGATGCGGACGTCCAATTTTCTGCTACTCAGGCGCTAAGTACCTCACGGGCGTGAGGTAGCCAAATTGAGTGGCGCCGCTTGAGCCAAGCGGCGTCGGACGCGGGCACGGCGCTCGCCATGCTCGCAATTGCCTCCTGACCTTCGTTCAAAGTCAGGAAGGGGGAAACCTGTCGCCGAGCCGCGTCAACATACGCTCACATATAAGGCACAAGCAGCAGAAGAGCAAAGCAGCAAGAAGGACGATACTTTGTGTTTTTGCTCCGACAACCTTCGCAAACAATACAAATACAACAATGCATATACGGCTGACCGCGGGACACCTCCGCACGCGGTCAGCCAATACATTGCGGCTAGCCGCGGAGGACACCCGCACGCGGCCAACAAAAGCAAATATGAAAGGGCTTGGCCAACAGCTCCAAACAAAAGGTAGGCTCACCCAAAGTTAATCGGGCGCCTGAGGTAACCTTCAGAAACCACAGCGCAAATAAAACGATCCTGGCGAAGGACCCAACCACATGCAGTTGCGAGTACCGAGATCGTGAGATTTTTTTTCGGCGGCGCCAACGAACCGCATGAGGGGCGTGCCGACATGTGACGGGGTACACAACACGAAGGAAAACGGCTGGTCCAATTACGAGAGACGGAGCGCGGGTGAATCTGAGCGCGACTGAGTCCATGTGCGAGTAAGTCTGCGCGCGAGCGAATATACTTGCACGAATGCGAACATGGCTACGCCTCGTGTAAATGTATATTAATGCGAACGGTTCGGGCATGCCTGTCTGCGCACTCGCGACACTGAGCGTGGCCGCCGCAGAAAGCTTCCACGGGAAGCCCGGCGGCAGCGCCCGCGCGCTGCGACGCCCATGTCGGCATGCCCCTCACGAGGATCGCGCCCGCTTCCTTCCCTTCTTTTCCCCCCTCTTCGCCCACGCACTCCAAACTCCAAAGCCGCTGGCGCAGCGCGGCGCGGAGCCCCCGCGACGCGCGCCGGTCGCCCCGGAAGGGCCCCAGCGACGCGCGCGGGTCGCCCGCTGCGCGGAGCAAAGAGAGCTAGCTAGCTAGCGGGCTGGCAGATAGCGGGCAAGGCTCTGACCGCTGGGCAAAGCGACGACAGGCGAGCGACATCCACCAGGCCACTCCTCCACAGCTCGTTTACAGCGACCAAAGCGAGAACACCGGAAAGACCCTCGCTGGTGGAATGAAACCCCCCGCGAATGCAAAGCAACATACATACGGGCGGGAGCGGGCCTCCTCCTCCTCCTCCTCCTCCGTTCCTCCTTCTCCCCAGAAGTCTGGAGCTGTTCAAAGAAACTTTGCGTGGCGGACGAATGGTGGCGGCGGCACTGGCGCCTTCGGTGGAAACCCTTATGGGGCCAGGAAACGCGTGAAAGGTGTGCCGAAATTCGCGTGGAGGACGCATGCGGGCGGTGGCACTGGGGCCTTCGGTGGAGCTCCCTATGAGGCCACGAAACGTGTGAGGGGCGTGCCGAAATTGGCGTGGGGCCGCATGCATATGGCGGCACTGGGGCCTTCGGTGGAGCTCCCTATGGGGCCACGAAACGCGTGAGGGGTGTGCCGGAATGGGCGCGGGAGACGCATGCGGGCGGTGGCACTGGGGCCTTCGGTGGAGCTCCCTATGGGGCCACGAAATGCGTGAGGGGCGTGCCGGAACGGGTGCCGGGGACGCATGCGGGCGGCGGCACTGGGGCCTTCGGTGGAGCCCCCATATGGAGCCACAAAACGTGCGGAGGGTGCGCCGAAGTGGATGTGGGAGGCGCACGCGGGCTGTGGCACTGGGGCCTTCGGTGGAGCTCCCTGTGAGGCTACGAAAAGTGTGAGGGGTGTGCCGACATGGGCGTGGGTGACGCATGCGGGCGGCGGCACTGGGGCCTTCGGTGGAACTCCATATGAGGACGCGAAACGTGTGAGGGGCGTGCCGAATTGTGTGGGGGGGCGCATGCGGGCCGTGGCACTGGGGCCTTCGGTGGAGCTCCCCATGAGGCCACGAAACGTGTGAGGGGTGTGGGCATTGGCGCCTTCGGCGGGACTCCCTATAAGGCCACGAAACGTGCAAGGGGTGCGCCGAACTGGGCGTGGGGGGCGGGCGTGGGCGGCGGCACTAGGGCCTTCGGTGGAACTCCCTATGGGGCCACGAAACGTGTGAGGAGTGTGCCCAAATGGGTGTTGGGGGCGCATGCGGGCGGCGGCACTGGGGCCTTCGGTGGAGCTCCCCATGGGACCACGAAACGTGTGAGGGATGTGCCGAAATGGGCGTGGGGAGGCGCATGTGGGCGGTGGCGCTGGGGCCTTCGGCGGAGCTCCCTATGGGGCCACGAAACGCGTGAGGGGTGCGCAGACATGGGCGATGACGCTGGTGATGATGACGGTCGTGATGATGATGATGAAGATGACGATGATGATGATGACGATGATGATGATGACGCTGATGGCGACGATGACGACGACGGCGACGAGGACGATGACGGGAGGAGAGAAAAAGGGGGAGGAGGAGGAGGAGGAGGAGGAGGAGAGGAAAAACGCGGGGCGACCTCTTCAAAACGAGGACCCAACACCACAGGATGGCTGGGAAAAAGAAGGCCCGCGACCGAGCCAACACTGGCACATAAGCCCGTGACCGGGCAGACGCCGACGCACGGCCCGTGACCAGGCGATCGCTTGCGACCAGGCAGTAGCCCGTGGCCGGGCAGATGCAGGCTATCAGCCTGCTCGCACACAGAAAGTATCCGCTGGCCCTGATGGGAGCCAGGCTAAAATGGCGTTGGTCTCCTCCTTCTGCTGGGGTTGTACAATTTCACCTCGTACTCGAAAGACTGCACCTGCCATAACTCGCAGTAGTCAGTCCCGATCGAGACAACCTGCGGCATGACCATCAGCTGCAATACCTCGTGCATCACACCACTGTACGCCACGAACAATACCTCTGTCCATCATGTATCGGATCCAGCTGATGCGCCCCAGCAGGGAACAGTCAGCCGGCCTCTTCTGCCCCTTCCTCGTTGACGACTTGAAAACCGACTCAGCGTCGATGGTGGGGATGGCCTTCATGTTTGGACCGCCTATCTCTAAGATATTATCGAGTTGTGTCTGCGTGAGTGGCCCAGCCTTGAGCTCGCGTAGCGCTGCGATGGCGGGGTGGAGGTCTGTCAAGTCACGGGCTGCTGCTAGAGCGTCGGCAGGGTAGCCAGAACGCACCTGCCGTCGGTGTGACTTGCAGCGAAATGCGTCGAACCGGTATACGACAGCCTTGCTGCTAGGCGCGTGGCCACGCAGCGGGAGGTCGACACCTCGGATACAATGCCCCTTGACTCAATCGTCGGCATCGCCGTTGAGGCGTCGACCAGCTGAATCACGATCTAGATTCACTTCTCCTGTCAGAATCATTTGTTGCATACTAAGTTACGTGGGCCCTGTTGTAGTTTACGCGT